TTAGTGTTAATTAAATTAAATCAAATCAAATCTAACCCTTCCTGTTACTAGTTATATAAAAAGAGAAGTATTCCTTTCCGTGTGGATACGAACCTTACTTCATTACATTACGTATAATTGTTGTATTGATATTTACTTTGACTGCACACCACGACAAAGTGCACGTCAAATTTGGCGCCGTTGCCGGGAAAAGGCAATTAATTTTCTTTTTATTTTATTGTAAAAAAAAAAAGAGAAAAAAAAATATATTACCTAAATATAGAGATTTCTATTCTTCTGAGCTTTGTTTGAATATATGTTAAACACCGATCTATAAACCAAATCACCTACCAAACAAATCCCGAAACAGAACAAGCCTTCGAGAGGTTTAGGAATTTATTTCCGAATACTTCTTCGGAGGAGTCATCAAGTGCTAGTTCTTATTCTAGCGAGAACAAAGAGCCAATCAGTATGGCTTAAGAAACAAGAACGTTGAGGGAGCTCACGGCTCCTAACTTAAATCAACAACCTCTATGTATCACCTTCCCCACTCTTGATGAAGGTGCTACATTTGAGCTCAAATCGGGCCTCATTCATCTACTCCCTTCATTTCATGGCCTAAGGGGTGAGGATGCAAACAAACATCTTGCGGAGTTTCATATAGTTTGCACTAGTATGAAACCAAATAATGTTACGGAAGAACAAATCAAGCTGAGGGCCTTTCCATTCTCACTTAAAGACACGGCTAAGGATTGGCTATTTTATCTTCCCTCGGGAAGCATAGATACATGGGCGGCAATGAAGAAATGCTTCCTAGAAAGGTACTACCCCGCCTCCATCTCATCATCTTTGAAAAAACAAATAAGTAACATCGATCAAAAAGATGATGAGACTTTATATGAATATTGGGAACGGTTCAAAAAGTTATGTGCTAGCTGCCCTTATCATGGCTACACCGAGCAAGACCTCATACTCTACTTTTACGATGGTCTTGTTGATGATGATAGAAGAATGGTGAATGCCGCTTGTGGGGGTGGCATTGTCAAAAAAAAAACCTCACAAGCAACAAACTTGATCTCGGAGTTGGCCGAAAATTCTAGCTTAGGCATTACAACGGGCGGTCTTCAATCCGTAAAGTTTCCGCGGCGGAATCATCTTCATCTTTGGAAAGTCAAATGGCCGGTTTGACTTCTTTGGTTAAGGATTTCCTCTTAAATCCTAGAACCCAAGAGGTCAAGGTCTGCGGCATATGCACACGGCAGGGGCATCCAACCGATTCTTTCCCAAATCTCCAAGAAGAGCAAGTCAATGCCTTGGGTTTTCAATCTCATCAACAAAAGAGGTACGATCCACACTCTAACACTTACAACCCCGGGTGGAGAGATCACCCGAATTTGAGATATGGGAACCCTCAACCACAACAAAATCAGCCCTTTCAACAATCCTTCCCAAATCACCAAGGCCAAACCTCAAGCTCAAATATGTCCACCGAAGACATGATCCGAGCACTTGCTACAAATATGTCAACGATGCAACAAAGTGTGGCTCAATTCCAAGAAACAACGAAATCTAGCATCCAAAACTTGGAAAATCAAATGAGCCAAATCTCAATTGCGGTGAGCCGACTTGAGGCAAAAGACTCGGGTAAGCTCCCATCTCAAACGGAGCAAAACCCGAGACAACATGTTAATGCAATCATGTTGAGGGATGAGACAACATTGAAAGAGGTGCATGAGGAAGAAAAACAACCTGAAAATGGGGTTGATCCTGGAGAAGATTTTCAACCAAACGAGGAGGAACCAATGAAAACTAAATCCCCTCCACTTTCATCATATGAGCCACTTCCTCCATTCCCCGAAGCACTGAAGGACACAAGAAAGCTGAAGAATGATCGGGACCTCTACGAGACTTTCGCCGATTCTGAGGTAAACATCCCACTCTTCAAAATGATCAAAAGTGTTCCCCGTTATGCAAAGTTCTTAATGGAACTATGCAAAATGAAAAAGAAAAATAAACTGGAAGGGAAACAAAAAGTTGAGGTTAGTGAACGTGTCTCGGCCATTTTTCAAAAGAAACTTCCCAAAAAATGTAGCGACCCGGGCATGTTCACCATTCCTTGCAAAATAGGGGACACCAATTTTTCTAAAGCCTTGTTGGATTTAGGAGCATCAATAAATGTCATTCCTTATTCCTTGTATAAATCCTTACAACTCGGCCCACTACATCAAACTGGTGTAGTAATTCAACTAGCGGATCGGTTTAATACTTACCCGAAGGGTGTAGTAGAAGATGTGCTAGTACAAGTAGAAAATTATATTTTCCCTGTTGATTTTTATGTTCTGGAAATGGGAGATGATAACCAAACAACGCCCATTCTTTTGGGAAGACCCTTCTTGAAAACCGCTAAAACAAAAATTGATGTGTCTAGTGGTTCATTAACAATAGAATTTGTGATCAAAAAGTAGAATTCAACATCTTTGATTCTACCGAAAAACAAATTAAAGATCAATCTCTTTGTTCTTTAAATGTTTTTGAACCACCACCAACACTAAATATTTTTGTTGGAGAGGAAACAAAAAAATTCTCAATTTTTAATGAAATAAAAATTGAGCCAAAAAAATCTATTTTGAAAGGAGAACTTAAAAAGTCACCTCAGCGCGAGTTAAAACCATCGACACTTGAGGTGGTGACAAAGAAGAAAATTCGGCCTTACTGGAAACGGCCGAGGAAGAAAAATGAAACGAGGGATGCTCACGATCCCACTTAAAACAGAAAAATAAAATAAAAATAACGTCGTGCCGCGACATTAAATCAAGCGCTTCTTGGGAGGCAACCCAAGTTTGTAATTAGATCATTTTCAATTTGTGTGTGAGAAAACCCTGTACAAAAAAAAAGTTTTTAAACTGAAACTAGTAAAAACTCGGTCGGGTATAAGCTAAACCCGGTCGGGTGTGCTGCACAAAAACGAAATACCCGGACCTGGTAGGAAAATTGAAAAAAAAAACAAACAAAAGCCCGACCGGGTAAGACAAGAAACCCGACCGGGTATGTAGCTTCGAAACCTTCTGCCAAGCAAAACCGAAAAACCCATTCGGGTAAAGGCATTTACCCGGCCGGGTAGTCGGGAAAAGAGGGATTTTTAACCCAGAAATCGAGCCACGATAAAATCACCTTCATCCCCAACCTCGAACACAACACTCCCAAACCTCCATTGTTGTTCAAAGAAGCTTCAAATTCATCCAAACCCTCCACCAAAATTCCAAATAAACTCCATATTCTTGTTCTTCACACCACCCTCTCCAATTCTACACCCAACACAACCATCAAATCCCCCTCAACCCCAAAGTCCGAAAACCCTACCCCCTCCACCAAAACTTCGGATTTTTGCTCGAAATAACCCAAGAACAACCCAAAGTTTTGCTCTCCCAATTATTCTCTACATCTCCACACCTTCAAAAACACCCCAACCCCAAAAAAAAAAAAAAGATTTTTTCACTCCCTCAACCCCCAAGTCCGAAATTCCAAGCCCCAAGTCCGAATTCTTCAAACCAAGTTCAAGCAAAAGGGCAACCATGGCACCAAAGAGAACTAGAGCATCTTCCTCCAACTCAAATGCTCCAATTCCACAAGTTCCCGGGTATGAGAGCATCGAATTCACCTCTAGGGCTCATCACAAGAAATTCCTCACCCAACTCAACCGAGAGGTACATTCAAGCCAATTTCTTTGTCATGAAACATTGAGAGCATTGATGTTGTATGATATGATGCTAGAATTGTGCAACAACATAGGACTTACTACACTGTTCAATATGTCTTATAATATCTACAAAAGAATTGTGTATGAGTTCCTAGCCTCTGTTGAATTTACTGATAACGATGAGGACACCTATGAGAGCAAACTCACGTTTCGGTATAACAACATACCGAGAACTTTAACGAAATGTGAGTTTGCCGAGCTATTTGGTTTACCGGTTTTAGGTGTGGAGGAAAGAAAGGCAAGAAGTGATAAAACAATTGTGCATGATTTGTGGCGAAGAATGACAAGGGTTAGGGTCTTTAAATCCTCACATATGCATGTTACACATGTTCAACACCCTGCCCTTCGAATTGCACTAAAATGGTTTGGGTATAATGTCTTTGGGAAGCCAAATAATCATCAAACAAGGATTAGTGAATTGGCCGTTCTTGCTATGGGTATCTTTCCAGAAGCTCCTAGATTAGATGTTGCCTCATGTTTATGGGAACATCTAAAAACACAATGTGAAGCTATGGGTGAAATTTACATAGGAGGGTACATACACCATATTTGTACTAAATTTGGCTATCATGCGAATAAAGAAGTAGAAGCATGGAATTTCCTTAATCTTGACTTTCTACTCACTGCACATGATTTGAGTCACTCCCACACTATTGGGACCACGACATTTTACCATTGGACCATACATGTGACACCGCACCCGAACGTCCTTGAAAATTCGATTTAAAAATTCAAAAGTGATGTATTGAATTTCCGATTTCAAAGCAATGGAAGAAACGATTAATATTTTACGAAGTACATGATTGAATATTGTATTGTTCAAACCCGCATTCTTTTGTAATTTTCATCATGTAAATTATTGGGATGAGCCTACACATATTGGAGATCAATAATGTGATTTAGGAAGTTGACTTGCTCTAAATAAATTAGAACGAGTACAAAAAAAGACATCTTTTGACAAAGATAAAACAATAGGACCCATCTTCCCATTTTTGGAAGTATTGGTAGATATTTTGGACCCCAAATTAAATGGGATCATTTGGGAACCATCCCACATGACCTTGGTACCTGCAAAGACAAAGAAAAATGGATGAGACAACTATGTGGGGCGGACTTTTGACTCATGAGCTACAACATTACAAAAAGGAAATAAAAGAGGAGGTCCATACCATGTTTGATTGCAATCAAATACCCCACCCTTCTTTTTGTGAACCACATGCTCTCTTAGCATGATTGAGGCCTTCCTAATACATTTCCCCTACACCCCATTCGAACTCCCAAGATAAGAGAGAAAGAGGGAGCCACATATTCCAAGGGAGAAGAGAAGAGAGAAGCTGGCCGCAGGATTCGTTTTCCAGCAGATAGGGTCTCTTGTTTGATCCATAACTTGAGCTTCACTCGTCCAAATAAGGCGTATGATATACCAAAAGAAATCTCTCAAGACGAGGAATCTTTGAAGGCCTGGTTTGAAGGAATCGGAGTTGTGGAAGGCTTCCAAATCGTCCGAAAAAAACGCAACCTCGCAGGAGAGGATTTAATCTTCTAAAGTGAGTTTTAACCCCAAAGCTTTACTTTTCATTCTCCAAATGATATGAACGATTGGTGAGACTATTATACACTAATCCAAGTGTATAATATGTCCTTATAAAGTTATTTTATTGATGTAAAGGTTAGATACTAACCTAGATGCAAATATTGGAAAACTAGGAATCGAGTTAGCCGGAAAACACCCGTTCTAGGGGCTGTTTTCGTATCAACGATTAAGGGTTGAACTAGCACTTTGAGGAGGCTGTTTAACACTCATATTTGAGCAAGGAATCAGTCCCAAATCCACCTTGACCAAAGATTTGACCATTGGACCAAGAAGGGAAAGTTTAAAGCTCAATTGAGGTGAGGATTGACATCTAATTGCTTACAACTTGTAGGTTAAGCATGAGATTACCTAAATGCTTAAATCATGATTTTTCATGGATTATGATGACTATATATTGATGAAATATTGATATAGTTGCCAAAGAATGAATTTGGAATGATTTGAGAAAGTATGAATAATATGAGATTAAATGAGTATAAATGAACTATTTTGTGAAAATGGGCATTTTGCTCATGTATGAATCATGTGGATACATAAATGAATATTTGTGTATTGAGATTGAATACTTAAGTTGCTGCTACATAATTATAAATATGTAGAGAATTACAAACAATGAGGATAATGGTACGATAACAATAATCTTAATAGTATTGGAATACTAGTTAGTGATTATTGGAACTTGTTGATTAAATTGATCCTAGGGATTGGATTGTATGAAAGGTACTTGAATGTAGTTCAAGTGTATATGATAACTTAGTATGGAACTAAGGTTAAGTTATGGGGAGTCTTTAAGGATGACCCATGGTAGTTTAATGATATGTCAATTCTAGGCATAGGGTTGCTTGAGAATTGGACCTTAATGCATGGTGATGTGATAGAGCCGAGCTCTAGAATGCATGTAAGGTGTAGACTTGGAGTCTATGTATTGTATAGCTAGAGCCGAGCTCTAGGACTTGCGTGGTGATGTGATAGAGCCGAGCTCTAGAACGCAAGGTAGGGAGATTGACCCGAGGTATATGAATTGTATGGTGATGTGGTAGAGCCGAGCTCTAGAATACAATGTCATGTACTAGGGTTGGACTCTAGGAGTTGTCGTGGCTTATAGTCACGGGGTTGGGAATGGTGATTTCCAAATAAACATGGGCCCACGGGCCGACTACTTGACTTTTATATTAAGTAAGTATATTTTTAAACGGGGTAACTAGGGTTACAAATCATAATGTACTATCACCCTATTTGAGGGTCTTGTGTTTGAAATACTTGTTGTATATCTATTAGATGCCTGCCACACCAGTACTTTATAGCCGTATAGAGTACTGACCCCTTCGGGGGCGTCCCACCACCATTTTTCAGGTTGAGGCTAGAGCTTGCTTCCTGTGCTCGTTGCTCGAGAGATCATATAGGAGGGAAGACTTGGTTCGTGCTTCCTCCATTCTGTTTTTAAACCTTCCTAAACGTGCTCATGGATATTTTACTATGGAGCCTGCGTGCTCATGAAATGCCTTGTGTGGCCTTTTGTTTTAAACAATGTTTCCGCTGCGTTATGAATTACTTATTATGTTTGTTTATGGATGTATATGTGTGAATGATATTCAAGACGCCTTGTATAATATGAATGTGTTGGACTGCGGTTGACTATTCGTATTGTACGGCGGGTTGTTGACGTGTCCGGATAGGTCCGGGGCGTGACAATTAAGTTGGTATCAGAGCCTTAGTCCGTAAACTTCATAATGAAGTCTCAAAATCCTCTTTTTGAAAAGATTTTGAAAACCATGAGCATAGAAGTTTTGTACTTGGAGAGCTTTTGGTACTTGGGTTGCAAGGTCTCTAATTGTTAAGATGGTACCCTTAGCAATTGGTATGGCGGTGACTCGAGCCAAAATGTGTCTTAAGTACCTATCCGTCAATTGACATTTGATACGAGTCTAACGACTCTTTCCAAATTTCTTTCAGAAATGGACCGTGGTGGCAAGGTAACTAGGAGGAACCCTTTGGGCCGTGCACCCGAGGAGACTGGGCAAGGCAGTCGTAGGACCTCTAGGGCATCTAGAGGAGCGGGCCGTGGAGGCCAATCACGGACCGTGAGTGACGGTCATGTGAGCACCGAAAGTGACAGCTACTGGTCCTATGAGGACTCGACCTATCGGCCGGAAACAGAGCCGGTTGAAACCCCTTATGAAGGGGATGATGATGATGTAAGTGATGAGGAGGACAACGGCTCCTTAGCGCGGATTGAGGCACTACTCCAACAATATCACCGTGAGCGTGAAGAGAGGAGGGAACGCCGAAGGCGCCGGGCTGGGCAACCTTCGGGCATGGCTTCACGAGGAGGAAGTCATGGTGCATCTAGAGTCCATGTGGAACCACGTGGAGGCCAAAATGATGGAGGTCCAACCATAAGGATCTCCAAATACATCAAAGAAGCAAGAGATTTGGGGTGCAAACCCTTTGATGGAGCAGGGGACATTTCAGTGGCAGCACAATGGATCAAGAGGCTAAATGAAGCGGCCCTTGACATGCAAATCGCGCCGAATCTCAAACTGAGAATTGCGGTAAGATTGCTCGAGGGGATGGCATCCAAGTGGTGGGATGGAACCATGAACAAGTACGGTGAGACCGTCGTTTGGGAGGACTTCCAACGGGAGTTCTTTGCCCAATACTATTCTGATTTCGAGGTGAATAAGAAGGTGAGGGAATACACCCTCCTAACCCAAGGGGGTAACATGTCAGTGAAGGAGCTTGAGTACAAGTTCCGGGATCTCGCCGACTACATACCGGAGTATGCTTGTGACGAGAACCGCATGGTGAACCACTTTTGGGACGCTCTTGACTTGGAGATACGTGATAGGGCAACGCAATTGCCTAATATGACTTTCGCCCAAGTGGTTGAACAAGCATTGAAAGGGGAGAAACAGTGGGAGGAACGGAAGAAGAGAGACGCCGAAGAGGCGAAAAAGAGAAAATGGGAGAGTCATGGCTCCCAAGGTTCCAACAAAAGGGGGAACCACGGAGGAGGATCTTTCCGGGCACCACCGCCACCATCAAGGGGGAACCAAGGCCCAAGTGGGCAAGGCTCGAGGTCACAGACCTCAGTGGTAACTCGTTGCAACAATTGCAAGAGGAACCATTCCGGTAAATGTCGCGACCCCCCTAGATGTTTCCAATGTGGGGATGCCGGGCATTTGAAGGCACATTGCCCACAACTGGGCGGGGCAAGGACATCGGGACCAAGTAGTGGCCCGACGGGTACACGGAATCAGACTGGGGCTTCTCAAGCAAGCAGGGGGCAAGGGGGAGCAAGTGCGAGCAACGCGCCATCCGTGAACCAAGGGAGGACCCAGGCTAGGGTCTATGCGATGACGGAGGCGGATGCTCAAGCTAACCCGGACTCCGTTGCAGGTATTGCCTCTCATATACTAGTGTTTTATCCTTAATTAGTCCATAAATTGAGGATACTAATCGCTAGGATCATTGCACGAGGTTTTGGGGTCGAACCGGGGGATTTCGGGCAACTTCAGGCGGCTGGGACCCAGGCACGATCGTGCCTAAGGCAGACACGATCGTGCCTCCAAGTCAGTAGCTGCCCAGGAATATTCCCAGCCCAGGCACGATCGTGCCTAAGGCAGACACGATCGTGCCTACAAGGCAGTAGCTGCCCAGGGTTTTTCTCCAAACCAGGCACGATCGTGCCTAAGGCAGACACGATCGTGCCTCCAAGTCAGTGGTTCCCAGGATTTTTCCAACCCAGGCACGATCGTGCCTAAGGCAGACACGATCGTGCCTCCAAGGCAGTAGCCCCAGGGCGTTTTCCTGAGCCAGGCACGATCGTGCCTACCCCGGGCACGCCGTGCCTGGCACCCAGATTGCCGAAACCCGATTTTTTCGCATCGTTTTGCGACGTTAAGGCCTCTTCTTGATCCCTAACGTGCGTGTGAACATTGCAACCTTCTATAAATGAGTAGGGAGGATAGGAAAGATGTCTTACATGGTTCATGAATGTAGGGACACTAAAGATTAATGGGAAGGATGCACGAATCCTTATCGATACCGGAGCGCAACGTTCATTCGTGAGTGAGGCGTTTGCCGAGAGCTTAGAGATGCAATCAATACCAATGACACAAACCTTAGTGGTATCAACCCCACTAGGGGAAGACGTTGAAAGAAACAATTACTATCCATCTTGTATGGTGGAAATCGGTGGCCAAACCTTGACGTGTGATTTCGTACCGCTGAGTATGATGGAGTTCGATGCAATCCTAGGGATGGATTGGCTAGAAAAGCATCATGCTAGGGTAGATTGCTACACAAAGGTGTTGGAACTCGAAGGCACACATGGGGACACCCTACGCTTCGAGGGGGACCGCGGCAAATCAAATAGTTGTATCATATCCGCCGTGAGAGCGAGAAATATGATGAGGAAGGGATGCCACGCATATCTAGCATACGTGGTTGACAAAACCAAAGAGGAAACGAACATCGATGATGTGAGGGTGGTTTGTAAGTATCCGGATGTCTTCCCTAAAGACCTACCGGGGCTTCCACCTGACAAAGAGATTGAATTTGTGATCGAGGTCGAGCCTGGTACCAAACCAATCTCCATACCGCCATACCGGATGGCACCCGCCGAACTTAACGAGTTGAAAACCCAATTGCAAGAGCTTTTGGATAACGGTTTCATTAGACCAAGCCACTCCCCGTGGGGAGCACCGGTTCTTTTTGTGAAAAAGAAAGATGGGACACTTCGAATGTGCATTGACTATCGTCAACTGAACAAGGTCACAATCAAGAATAGGTATCCGTTGCCTAGGATTGATGACTTGTTTGATCAACTACGAGGAGCAACCGTGTTTTCGAAGATTGACTTAAGGTCGGGGTACCATCAATTGAAGATTAAGGAAGATGACATACCAAAGAGTGCTTTCCGCACAAGGTATGGGCATTTTGAGTTCCTTGTTATGTCGTTTGGGTTAACAAACGCCCCGGCGGCATTCATGGACTTGATGAACCGAGTATTTCATAAATACTTGGATCGATTCGTGATTGTGTTCATAGATGACATCTTGATTTACTCAAAGAGTGAAGAAGAGCATGAGGAGCACTTGATACTTGTTCTTGAAACACTACGGGAGAAGCAACTCTATGCCAAATTTTCTAAATGTGAATTTTGGCTAAAGGAGATTGGCTTCCTCGGGCACGTGGTTTCGGGATCGGGGATTGCTGTTGATAATAAGAAGATAGAAGCCATTACTGAATGGGAGAGGCCAAAGAACGTCAAGGAAATTCGTAGTTTCCTTGGATTGGCAGGCTACTATAGAAAGTTCGTGGAAAAGTTCTCTGTTTTGGCATCGCCATTGACGAAGCTCACTCGTAAAGGAGCTAAGTTTGTATGGGATGACAAATGTGAGAAAGGGTTCATGGAACTAAAGAAGAGATTGACTGAGGCACCGGTACTTGCATTACCCAAACAAGGTGTGGGGTACGATGTCTATAGCGATGCGAGCATCCAAGGGCTCGGATGTGTACTGATGCAGAATGGGAGGGTAATCGCCTATGCTTCACGACAATTGAAGAAGCATGAGGTGAATTATCCTACTCATGATTTGGAGCTCGGGGCAGTGGTATTTGCACTGAAGATATGGAGACATTATCTCTACGGGGAGACATGTCACATATACACTGATCACAAGAGCTTGAAGTACGTGTTTACTCAAAAAGAGCTAAACATGAGACAGAGACGGTGGATGGAGCTGATAAAAGACTACCATCTAGTGATAGAGTATCACCCAGGCAAGGCAAACGTGGTGGCAGATGCTTTGAGCCGGAAGAGCTCGTCTGGGGCATTGATAACTAATTTGAGGGCATTAAGAGCCCAACTGGAGGTAACCAGCGATGGTGCCTTATTGGCACGATTTGAGGTGAGACCCACTTTACTTGATGAGATCAAGAAGGGTCAGGAAGCCGACGAAGAACTTATGAAGGTCCGAGAACGCATGCAAGCGGGGCCGGTGGAGGATTTCAGGGAAAGAGATGATGGTCTCTTGTTATTTCGTGACCGAGTGTGTGTACCGTCAGATGATGAGCTCCGAAAGTCCATCTTAGAGGAGGCTCATTCATCGGCTTATGCCATGCACCCGGGGGGCACGAAAATGTACCGTGATTTGAAGGAAAGTTACTGGTGGTCTGGAATGAAGAGGGAAATAGCCGAGTACATCAGTCGGTGCCTTACTTGTCAACAAGTTAAGGCAGAACATCAGCACCCAGCAGGCTTATTGCAACCACTCTCCATCCCTGAATGGAAGTGGGAGCACGTGACTATGGATTTCGTGGTAGGCTTACCACGGACTATCAGGAACTATGACGCGGTTTGGGTCGTTGTGGATAGGCTCACAAAGAGTGCACATTTCTTGCCTATCAACACTACCTACCCACTTGAGAGGTTAGCCAAATTGTATACGGATGAGATCGTGAGGCTGCATGGGGTCCCGGTGACCATTGTATCTGATAGAGACCCACGATTCACATCACGTTTTTGGCCGAAATTCCAGGAGTCTATGGGAACGAAGTTGAAGTTCAGCACTGCTTTCCATCCACAGACGGATGGGCAGTCTGAAAGGGTTATACAGATCCTAGAAGACATGCTGAGGGCTTGTGCATTGGAGTTCCAGGGGAGTTGGGACAACCACTTAGCACTTGTGGAGTTTGCCTATAACAACAGTTATCAGGCAAGCATCGGCATGCCTCCATACGAGGCATTGTATGGGAGGAGGTGCCGTACACCGTTATGCTGGGACGAGGTTGGCATGGCCAAACTCGAGGGTACTGAGTTGGTGGAGGTCACCAAATCAAAGGTGAAGTTGATTCGAGAGAGACTCAAGGCGGCTCAGGATAGACAAAAGAGTTATGCAGATAAGCGTCGAAGAACCTTAGAGTTTAAGGTTGATGACGAGGTATTCTTGAAAGTTTCTCCTTGGAAAGGGATCATTCGGTTCCAAACCCGAGGAAAACTTAACCCACGATATATAGGTCCATTCAGAATTATAGAGAGGATTGGGGCCGTTGCATATCGTCTACAATTGACTCCTGAGTTAGAGAAGATACATAATGTGTTTCATGTATCCATGCTTAAGAAGTACGTGCATGATCCCTCTCACGTATTGGAGAAGCCACCTGTAGAGGTACGTGAGGATTTGAACTACGCTGTTCAACCCATCAAAGTCACCGATAGAAAGGTGAAGAAGCTGAGGAGCAAAGAAGTCCCAATGGTTAAAGTCCTGTGGAAGAGCGATCGGGTCGAGGAAGAGACATGGGAAACGGAGGCCTTGATGAGGAAGCAGTATGCTTTCCTATTCGAGTAGAGCTGTGAATTTCGGGGACGAAATTCCTGTTAAGGGGGGGTGAACTTGTGACACCGCACCCGAACGTCCTTGAAAATTCGATTTAAAAATTCAAAAGTGATGTATTGAATTTCCGATTTCAAAGCAATGGAAGAAACGATTAATATTTTACGAAGTACATGATTGAATATTGTATTGTTCAAACCCGCATTCTTTTGTAATTTTCATCATGTAAATTATTGGGATGAGCCTACACATATTGGAGATCAATAATGTGATTTAGGAAGTTGACTTGCTCTAAATAAATTAGAACGAGTACAAAAAAAGACATCTTTTGACAAAGATAAAACAATAGGACCCATCTTCCCATTTTTGGAAGTATTGGTAGATATTTTGGACCCCAAATTAAATGGGATCATTTGGGAACCATCCCACATGACCTTGGTACCTGCAAAGACAAAGAAAAATGGATGAGACAACTATGTGGGGCGGACTTTTGACTCATGAGCTACAACATTACAAAAAGGAAATAAAAGAGGAGGTCCATACCATGTTTGATTGCAATCAAATACACCACCCTTCTTTTTGTGAACCACATGCTCTCTTAGCATGATTGAGGCCTTCCTAATACATTTCCCCTACACCCCATTCGAACTCCCAAGATAAGAGAGAAAGAGGGAGCCACATATTCCAAGGGAGAAGAGAAGAGAGAAGCTGGCCGCAGGATTCGTTTTCCAGCAGATAGGGTCTCTTGTTTGATCCATAACTTGAGCTTCACTCGTCCAAATAAGGCGTATGATATACCAAAAGAAAGCTCTCAAGACGAGGAATCTGTGAAGGCCTGGTTTAAAGGAATCGGAGTTGTGGAAGGCTTCCAAATCGTCCGAGAAAAACGCAACCTCGCAGGAGAGGATTTAATCTTCTAAAGTGAGTTTTAACCCCAAAGCTTTACTTTTCATTCTCCAAATGATATGAACGATTGGTGAGACTATTATACACTAATCCAAGTGTATAATATGTCCTTATAAAGTTATTTTATTGATGTAAAGGTTAGATACTAACCTAGATGCAAATATTGGAAAACTAGGAATCGAGTTAGCCGGAAAACACCCGTTCTAGGGGCTGTTTTCGTATCAACGATTAAGGGTTGAACTAGCACTTTGAGGAGGCTGTTTAACACTCATATTTGAGCAAGGAATCAGTCCCAAATCCACCTTGACCAAAGATTTGACCATTGGACCAAGAAGGGAAAGTTTAAAGCTCAATTGAGGTGAGGATTGACATCTAATTGCTTACAACTTGTAGGTTAAGCATGAGATTACCTAAATGCTTAAATCATGATTTTTCATGGATTATGATGACTATATATTGATGAAATATTGATATAGTTGCCAAAGAATGAATTTGGAATGATTTGAGAAAGTATGAATAATATGAGATTAAATGAGTATAAATGAACTATTTTGTGAAAATGGGCATTTTGCTCATGTATGAATCATGTGGATACATAAATGAATATTTGTGTATTGAGATTGAATACTTAAGTTGCTGCTACATAATTATAAATATGTAGAGAATTACAAACAATGAGGATAATGGTACGATAACAATAATCTTAATAGTATTGGAATACTAGTTAGTGATTATTGGAACTTGTTGATTAAATTGATCCTAGGGATTGGATTGTATGAAAGGTACTTGAATGTAGTTCAAGTGTATATGATAACTTAGTATGGAACTAAGGTTAAGTTATGGGGAGTCTTTAAGGATGACCCATGGTAGTTTAATGATATGTCAATTCTAGGCATAGGGTTGCTTGAGAATTAGACCTTAATGCATGGTGATGTGATAGAGCCGAGCTCTAGAATGCATGTAAGGTGTAGACTTGGAGTCTATGTATTGTATAGCTAGAGCCGAGCTCTAGGACTTGCGTGGTGATGTGATAGAGCCGAGCTCTAGAACGCAAGGTAGGGAGATTGACCCGAGGTATATGAATTGTATGGTGATGTGGTAGAGCCGAGCTCTAGAATACAATGTCATGTACTAGGGTTGGACTCTAGGAGTTGTCGTGGCTTATAGTCACGGGGTTGGGAATGGTGATTTCCAAATAAACATGGGCCCACGGGCCGACTACTTGACTTTTATATTAAGTAAGTATATTTTTAAACGGGGTAACTAGGGTTACAAATCATAATGTACTATCACCCTATTTGAGGGTCTTGTGTTTGAAATACTTGTTGTATATCTATTAGATGCCCGCCACACCAGTACTTTATAGCCGTATAGAGTACTGACCCCTTCGGGGGCGTCCCACCACCATTTTTCAGGTTGAGGCTAGAGCTTGCTTCCTGTGCTCGTTGCTCGAGAGATCATATAGGAGGGAAGACTTGGTTCGTGCTTCCTCCATTCTGTTTTTAAACCTTCCTAAACGTGCTCATGGATATTTTACTATGGAGCCTGCGTGCTCATGAAATGCCTTGTGTGGCCTTTTGTTTTAAACAATGTTTCCGCTGCGTTATGAATTACTTATTATGTTTGTTTATGGATGTATATGTGTGAATGATATTCAAGACGCCTTGTATAATATGAATGTGTTGGACTGCGGTTGACTATTCGTATTGTACGGCGGGTTGTTGACGTGTCCGGATAGGTCCGGGGCGTGACAATACACCCCTCACCCACACAAGTTTTTATAATCCCCTCTGACGCACTCCCCAACATTTTTAACCATCAAATCGGGGATAGGAGACACCTTTGCTTACCCGGAACCACCCTTGACCACTATCTTGATGAAATCCCTCAACTTGATCCCCCACCCATCCCCAACCCACCACAAGACCAACCACAAGCCGACCCCCAACATCCTCAATACAGTCCATTTGAGCAACAGATGCTCCACAGCATGAATGCCCTGAACCTCAACTACACCCAATTTCGGGAGGAATTTGGACTGTTTCGCACTGAGCACAGGCAGAGTATAGAGCGACTGGAGGAGCAAATACAAGACCAGCGGCAGCAATACGACGACGACCGCCGAAGGTATGAAGAGGATCAAAGGAGGACCTACGGCCCTATATACTCCTACATTGCACATCAAGGGTCCTTTTCTTCTATGGTCACTCCCCCCCCCCCCCCCCCACCCTCTTGGTATGACCCCACAGCATGGGGTACTTTTGGTGGATCGACCTCAGGTGGGGGAGGCGGTGATGGCGGATATGGCGGCAGCTCAGACACAAACGACAATGAGTATCCATATACGGGCGGTTTTCATGACAGCTACTATGGCCAGGGTGGATTCTTTGATAGAGGAGATGCTGGCGGGCACTAGGGACAGTGCCATGAACTAGCTGGGGGGAGAACTATTCTGGTACAGTCCCATTTCATACTCTTTATTCTTGCTTAAAAAAAACAAAGCTTGTTAGGTTGAAAACCCAAAAGGGCAACTTAAGCAAAATAAAAGCAAAAAGAAGAGTGAGTTGGTGAGAATAAAAAGGAAATGTGGGAAGCTGGGATGAAAACCCGAAAGGGCACCTAGGCAAAATGAGAGAATGAGAGAAAGTATTTTATTTTATCTTTGCAAGATCCTAAGGGCATATACATGAGGGGAAGCAAAAGAAGAGAAATCCAATGGTGTTGAAGACCTTTTTATGTGTTTTGATCATTGAAACATTTTTATGTTGACTTTCAAAAACCCTTGTGAATCGTTGTGATTGCTACTATTGTTGGTTTGGAAACTTTATGGACATGATTTTTTTTACTCGAGACGAGTAAAAGTTCAAGTACGGGGGTGTTTGATAGGCACTAGTTGTTAGTGCCTAAAGTGTACATTTTTATTATCGTTTGTAATATTTATTTACTAGTATTATGCAAGTTTGTAGTTGTTAGTTTGCATTTGATTGTAATCGTATTTTTAGCATTTTATTGTTTGTTGTAAGTTATAGTTAGTTGAGCTATAAGTTTAGGATAGGTTTGGAAGCAAGAAGGATGGAAAAACCTGAGTTTTATGCAAAACCCGGTCGGGTATGGACTTTACCCGGCCAGGTATGAAGTGACAAAGGGAGTTGCTACGAAATTAGCAAATACCCGGTCGGGTATTCCCTATACCCGGTCGGGTATGAAGTGATTTCGGGCAAACGAACGTGCAGAAGAACACCAGAACATGGGAAAAAGATTTGATTTGACAAATACCCGGTCGGGTATAGCAAATACCCGGCCGGATATCTGGCATTAGGTGTTGAAAACACCTATAAATAACCCCATTTTCCTTCACTTTTAATAATCCCTTCTTCCATACTCTTAAGCTCAGTTTAGAATAGTATTTCTTTTATATTTTTATAGCATGTTTAGTCTCCAAATGAGGAGCTAAACACTTCCATCTTGGTTTTGCTACTTTGAAGCTTAATGAATTTGTAAGTTGTGAGTTATTCTCTTTAATCTTCTTCCTTGAATATTAATTCTTCTTTTTTTTTTAAAGAAGAAGAAAACTTTTATTGAATAAAAGGGGAAATACAATGCAAGAAAGGAAAAATAAAAAGCGTACACAAAGAAAAATTAAAACAAAAAACAGAAACTAGGCCCAAGGAAAATTCTTGGACTGAGATCTAGTTCTCATGCTATGACGCCGTTTATTCTTCTGAGTTTTCCTATAAATTTTGAGTTGTGTATTCAGGTTCTCAGTTGGCAGGCTGTTATCCTGTGTGATGAACTGGGATTTATAGCAAATCTATCTATTGAAATCAGAATTCTGAATATCTTCCTGCGTGGAGATGGGAATTCGGCGGTCGCTTTCGGTTGCGTGCCCTAGGAAATCGTCTGAGAAAAAAGAGTCATCTGATGGATCAAAGCTATCAGAGGCATCTGAGTAAGCTTGAAGCAGTGAATGTTTTTGTTTAGGGTTTTCCACAGAATGAGTCTCTTGAAACATGACACCAGCTCCCAGAATATCTAAATTAAGGATCTCTTTAGAAATAGAAAGGCTAACTTCATTGCCTGTCATATGCCGAGGAGCTAAAATCATCGGGTCCTCCTGCACACTAAGCCCCACAAAATTAGAGAAAATATTTAGAAAGGCATTCAATCCTTTTTGTTGTTGACCAATGGGAATTAGGATGGAGCTCCCCTTTGCCTTGGTAATTTTCACAAAATTACCAGCTCTGCTGAATTCCGGAGAGACTGTAATAGGCCCGAATATTCTTTGATGCCTAAGTTTAAAGTCAGCATAAGAGAGATACTGGATGATTTAGGTAGTTGTATCGAAATTTAAAGCGATTTTTTTAAGCAAGGAGTTTCGAATTTCGAAAATGGTGACAACGTTGTTTTTTACTGCAAATTTGAATTGTTTTGATTCAATTTGGATTGAGTCAAAACCTTCTTCGCCAAAGAAAATGAACTTTTCTGAATCCTCATTTGCTGAATCCTCATATGGGGTAATTGCCGTCACGGTCTGAAGGCTTCCGGTGAGTAAATGGTTTTTGTTGACCAAGGAAGAGTCTGCCATGTCCTTTTGGATATGGGTCAGACTGGAGGAGGGTATTTTGTCTGTGTCTACCTTAAGGAGGTCTGCCCATGTGAAGACTGTAGCATTATTTTCCTCTTGCAGCTGTACTGGTTGGGTCCCTACCAAAGATACCCGTTTATCGGCCCCAGGGATTGCCGTGTCCACCACTTTCCCATTCAAGAATTCCGGTCGGACCATCGAGCCATGACTCCCGGATCTGATTACCTTCGAATTCGTAGGGGCGATGATTTCTTGATGTGTTTCGAAGTTGATTTCCGTCGTCCTCAGGCGAGCTCTAGGAAATCGGTTTAAACGGTTTCCTTTTCCTCTATTTCTTTGAGGATGACCGAAGTGGGGGGTAGGGTAGGGCTCAATCGCTGTGTTGAGGGGTTCGTCGGCCATATCTGTAAGCGAGATGTAGCGATTGTTATGGGCCAACGACCGATTGTTTTCAGCGATGATAGTTGAATGTTTCGAGGTTTGGTGGTTGAAGTGGGGAGAAGGGCGCCGTCTGTTGTAGACTGTGCACCAAGCTCCGTCGCTATCCCTTATGGAGACTCGGTAGGCGTCATTAGACTTGAGTCGGTGGTGAGTGTGACGATGATCGGTGGGTGCCCGGTTCCTCGCCGACCGTACCCTAGGCGGTGGCTTTCTAGGCCCTTCGTGCCTGTGAAGGTGCCGCTTGTTATGCTTGGTGAAGCTCTTCTCTACTGGAGTAAAAAATCTGGGTGTGTAGCTTCGTTCTAGAGGGTATTGAAATTCCCAGTACGGGAGTGGTTGAAAAACCTGGGGGCTAAGATACCCATTTTGATAGCCATGGTAAGGGAGGTATGTGCATTGGTGGTGCCTGCAAGAGCAGTGATGTTCGAAATAGGTGTTTTTGTTCCGCCGGTAGGGGTGGCGGAACTCGGCGTACATATCTTAAAAGTTACCTGCCGGATTGGTAGTGAGGGATGAGAGTTTCTCTCTCATTGCTTCCTCATGCCAATATGAATATTAATTCTTCTTTTACATACTATTTCTATATCAATGTTGGGGAGTGTTACTAAGATGACAATTAGTTAACATCTTGACATTAGTTATAGTAATAGTTATTTCTTCCTCTACATTAATATTAGGGAGTGTTACTAAGATGACAATTAGTTAACATCTTGATATTAATTATAGTAGGATTCATCTTCTTTAATATTCTTCCTTGAGTATTAATTAATTCCTATTCATATTTCATATTAATATTTTGAACATTACTTAAAGGATCAACTAGTTTTGTTTCATATATTAATTATTACTAGAATCGATCGACGAATACGCTTGTTAATCGTTCGATCGTTCCACGGTAGTAAACTTGGGTTATTAATGCATGCGTTTCATGGTTAATAAACCAAGGGGAATTAATTATGTTGATTAAACCAATAAACCGCTTGTGTTGAGGTTGTCAATCTCAATCGTTTTCATCTTGATTTTATTAATTAACGCGTCTCGTTATTAATAACTACCCTCGATGAACTGGATATACTCCCCGATTGAGTATTCGAGAGGAAGATAGTTAAAGATATAACTGGGATCGACGAACATTTCATTAAGTGGATAAAAGCAAAACCAAGTCCCCATCTCTATTAATTAAACTCATTTAAGTCATTCATCTTAGTGTTAATTAAATTAAATTAAATCAAATCTAACCCCCCTGTTACTAGTTATATAAAAAGAGAAGTATTCCTTTCCCTGTGGATACGAACCTTACTTCATTATACTACGTATAATTGTTGTATTGATATTTATTTTGACTGCACACCACGACAAAGTGCACGTCAAATTTGAATGCACCTCTTTCAACATAATTAATTCCCCTTGGTTTATTAACCATGAAACGCATGCATTAATAACCCAAGTTTACTACCGTGGAACGATCGAATGATTAACAAGCGTATTCGTCGATCTATTCTAGTAATAATTAATATATGAAACAAAACTAGTTGATCCTTTAAGTAATGTTCAAAATATTAATATGAAATATGAATAGGAATTAATTAATACTCAAGGAAGAATATTAAAGAAGATGAATCC